CCCCAAAACCCCAAAACCCCAAAACCCCGAAGGCCTAAAATTACTCTCTACAGGTAAATATAAGAATTAATTAAAGACGTATATATATTCTTCTCTAGATTATAAATCTAATTATTCTAGAAAGTACATCTGATGGGAGCATGTATTGTTAAAACACTAATATATAAGCGAGGTTACGATAAGGGAATTAAAACTTAGTATTAGTCTCTTCTTGATATCCCTACTCAAGATATAGATGGTAACTTTATCGATAGACTTGAGAAAGTTATTGAGGGAAAGAAATGCATCCTCGTAGTAAATGTAGCATCTAAGTGATCAATGAGTGAAAAGCACTACGAGTAGATGGTGCAAATGCATAACAAATATAAAGAGCAAGGATTTGAAATACTTGCTTTCCCAGTTAACCAGTTTTTTTCTCAAGAACCTGGAACTAACTAACAGATCAAGTCACTTGTAAGAAATTTCTGGGAGGCTGAATTTCCATTGCTTGACAAGTCCGAATGCAATGGTATAAATACGAGTGAAGTCTTTAAATTTTTAAGATTAAATTGTGCTGAACTCAATGAGCCTGAAAAGGATCAAGTCAAAAGAATACCATGGAATTTCTCAAAGTTCTTAGTAAACAAAGAAGGATAAGTAGTGAATTACTTTGAACCTGTGATAGAGCCAATCAATCTAACAAAGACTATCGAGAATATGCTAACTGAAGCAGATTGATAATCCTAGCTTTATTCTCATCATTCACCTAAGCTAAATTTGCTATCCTTACTGCTACGTAATCCTATTTTGAGTATGATAAAAGGCATTTGATGTTTGAGATTTAAAAAAGAGATTTCAAACTGATTTTTAAGCTTTAGTCCATGCAAAATAGAATGAAAGTTGTAGTTTAGCATTAAATACCTATGAATAACTTTGCCTTACTACCCAATAAGTTAATTTTAATTTCATTAGATTAATTTACTTTTCCTTTATCAATATCTAGTATCAACTTGATCATTTGGGGTTTTGGGGTTTTGGGGTTTTGGGG